ATTATTCGGTCTTCAGAGGCTGTAGTTGAAACACCTGAACAATCTGAACTCTCTCTGGTGTAGAATCACAAAATTATGATGTATGTGTATCCACTGGAGTGCTCCTAGATCAAACCACTTTTTACACTTGCATTACATCTTCCTCATTCCTATAGTTTTCCTCTTGCTGGGATTTTGAGTTTTAATTAAAATTGTGTTTGCTTCCTTTGGATTTATTTTCAGTTTAACTGGGACCCTGAATTTTATTTGTTAAGATATAGTATGATTTGGACAATTACACCTGGTCTGTTAGGTATTTTATCCTGATATATGTGGTAGTATGTACATTCAAGGATCACTTCTTCACATAGCTCTTCAGGAGGGGAAGGAAATTTCTTTTAATAAAAAATATAGTGTATGTGACTACTGAATTAAAATATCCTTAGGATAATGTTGTTGCAGGATACACTGTTGATGAGAACATCTATCACATTCCTGTTAAATCTGTTTAATTGTTTAACTAGATATCATAGTCTTGCTCCAGTTCTGAGATATACAGAGCACTTGGCACAGGCCAATAAGTAATGTCAGCAGCCCATTTTGCTATTTACCCTCTGTATTTCCTGACTTTTACCCAGTTACCCACTATTGAGTAAACACCATCTCTGCAAAAGGAATATCCCCCAAATTTTGTAGAGGCAAACACAGCCTCAGCTGAGACAGTTCATGGCTTCTTTCCCCTCTTAAGCAGAAACAGGGGAAAAGTCTCTAAGGATCCATTTTTAACCTATTTGAATGAAGACTGCCCAGAACATCACCTTATGTGTAACCTGGCTAGTCCTTGTTCCTGATGGGGTGACCTGCTCTGTGAGTGAGAAGCAAATGTGAGGAAATCAACAAAAATTTCCAATATTGCACCCTTTTCAAATAACTGCATTGAGTGTAAACCAATCATTTAGCTACAGCAGCAGGGATGGTTTTGTCTCACTTAAATATTCTTTCATTTTTAGTGTTACTTCAGGGTTCTTTCCCTGTTTAAGAAGTTACAGGTCAGTAATATATAAAAAATGTTACATTATAGGGGTTTTCCTCCATGTTTGTTAATGGTGGCTTTCTGTTTCAGCCTTGATTCGTACAGTGGTTGAAAAACGCTTAGATGCATTTAGCTGTCAGCCTCTGCCTGATCAGACAGAAGCACTTGCTGAAGAGCCCAGGCCACCAGATGCAGCACCCCAGGTGTCTGGTGAGGCAGATGCTGCTGACCAACCAGTCACAGAGAAAGAAGAGACTGACCAACCTGTTGCTGAGGAACAGCCTTCAGATCCCATCTCTTCCCAGCTGGAAGAATCAGATCAAGCAGGAACACAGGATTTGGAAACTGAGTAACAAACAGGCAAGTCATCAAGTAAATGGAGATGAATGGCTCAGAAAGAAGAAATTAATTCCTCTCTATTTACAAGTATCGTGCCGTACCCATGCTGAAAGAGGAACCTAAGCAACAGTAAAGCATTAAAACATGTTTTCCATATGTGGCATTGTTGATTACAGGCTGTAAAAATCGAGATAAGTTACTAGTGCAATGAATGGCAGGGAAATACTATCCCCTTCTACACAATCCAATACATCAAAAAACTGTGAGATTTACTGTTGAAAAATACTGCTGTACCACACCCTGTGCTTGAAGGACATCATAATAACGTTTGCAAGTGCTTTGATAGTGTTCTTGGAACAAAATTTCCTTACTTTCCCTATTTTGAAAGGTTGCTACTACAGCAATTAGATAAATTGCTTTTCACTCATATTAGTCTTTCCTCACAAACTTGAATGGGCATCTCAGCAGGTAACAGAGCAAAAGCAGTTGTTCCTCAAGCTTTTCAAGTTCAAAGAGTTCCACTAGGAATTTCTGCCAGTGCAAAATCCTCATTAAGTCCCTGACTCCTGGAACCCAGGTGAGGGGCTGGAGCCACATGCTAAGTCCAGTCTCGGTTTTCTTTGTAATCGTCCTTTCCTGATGGTTTACTGGAAATGGTACCAGACATGACTGACAAAATGTGCCTGCACTTCCTAGCGTATCTGTCGGTTCACAGGCCAACTCCTCAAGTGGGACAGTCCACCTCACAAAAGTACATCTGTGCTACATTGCAGCAACACCGTTTCCTTGCTGGGTCAGTATCCCCAGCGGGAGCTGTCCTCGGCAGGCAGGTAAGGCCGAAGGGTGGCCAGCTCTGCACCCAGAGTGGCAAGGGGGGAGGGCACGGGGGTCTGCAGCTCCTGGGTGTGCTTGTGCTGCACGCACAGGGGGAACCGAGAGAAGAGAGAGGGAGCTGTCGCTGCAGGCACTAGAGGGCAGAACAGCCCACAGCAATCGAGCTGTAGAAACGGGTAGAAAGACACTACTGATATCACCTATTGCACACCCTGCACTAGTGACACTCTTCTGGACTTCCCTCCTCTGCTAAACCCCAAAGGCATCGGCCTTTTGCAAAATCCACTCATTTATAACATGAGGAGCCAACACTTGAGCCACCCAATGAAGTCTACTCTAGATCATAGAATCATTTGGGTTGGAAGGGGCCTTAAAGATCATCTAATCCAACAACCCGCCCTGCCATAGGCAGACACATCTTTCACTAGATCAGATTGCTCAAAGACCCATCCAGCCTTGCCTTCTCTGAGTGTTGTGGGTTTCAGGGCTTTTTAACTGCAGCTGCTCAGTTTTCCATGCCATGTCTCAGCCCTAGGGTTGATCTGAACCCTTTCAAAAAGTTCAGCAGAGCTGTTTCAGTCTGTCCTTTGAATGAGATTGAAGGAAAAGTACATCTCCCTGCCTGTATTCAGCCATCTTTTCAGACAGTAAGCAACTAGATAAGCAACTCTTAACACATCTGGGTGCTGGACCCAGAATGCAGACTTCCGAGTGCTTTCTCCCAGAAACCAGACATGAAGTTCATGGCCTTGCACTGTGTCCAAAGGACCACTTGTAGCAGAAGAGTTGAGGTGATACCTCTTCTGGTCATGCCCAGGCTGGGTGCCTGTCAGTAAATGCTTCAAACAGAAGTGTGTGTGCTTCCTATCTTTGTGTGTTTTATTAAAAGCAGATGGTTACTATATGGCTGTATCCATGTGATTTGCATCTGTTGATTTCTCTGCGAAAAGCCAAAGCATTACTTCAACAACCAGCCCAGCAGTTTAGCTCCTTGTTTACTTAAACATCCACTTGGGAAGTCATTGAGACTTACTGCCTGACCCTCATTCAGTTTGGGAATCTTTTTGATACTGATGGACCACTTTGGGACCATTGGACTCTCCACATTTCTCCACTGCACACTGACAGACTGAGAGCTTTCTGGTGAGAGTAAAGTTCACAACAAGTTTGCTGCTGGCAGAAATCATGGGTTTCAAAATGCTGCAAAGAGAACGAATAAAAAGAATACATCTGTGAAAGTGTCTGTTTGCTTGCTTATATGCATGTGTTAAACATGAACCTTACTTTATCCATTTTTAATGTCTACACTCTCAGGAGCCTGAGGAAGCTATATTAACAACAGAAATATACAACAACAGCCCAGTGGTGTTCACACAGCCATGGAGTCCTGTCCTGCACTCCTGCAGGAGACATCTTTAGACCAGTGTAAAAGTATCTATCATAGTGAAATAATGAAACTATTTCAGTGTGGTTTCTCTCTGCCAGGGTTTCTTTACTAGTACAAACCAGAAGCTAGACATGGCCCAGAGTACATTTCAGTGGTCTAGCTGTTATGCTGCTTGATTGCAGTATCATTATAATTATAAAGTGCCTTATGTTGCCTTACTTCTCCTCCTCAGCTGCACCACAGACATTGGGCACTCTCGAGTTGCCCAGGCCTTGGTTATTAACATATGATAATATTAGCACATATGTATTGTCACTGGCAGTTTAAGTTAATAAATTTAACAGTGAACTGTAGCAACTCTGGTAGTGGCATATCCCATGCTGCTGACTGCCATGGGGTTCATGATTTCTGACAAAAAGTCTGGCTGAGAGGCTGGTACAATGTTTGCAACTGCCCCAATAGATTACTTTTATCTGTGAGAGTCCTAGCTGGATCTTGCAGCCACTATGGAGACAACACATGCTGTTAAAAACGACCAGCAGTGGATTTTGACTTAACAGCAATTGTGATTCAATCATGCTTTGGAAATTGAAATGATATCTACTTTAAACGGGGGGGAGGGGGGGGAGGAAGACCATATCCAGGAGATCAAGGGATGCCATTATTCCACTCTGTTTGGCCCTCGTGGGTTTATTTCTGGAGGACTGACCCCAACTGTGGTCTTCCCCAGTTCAAAAGAGGCACTGAAAAATTGGAGGGGTTCCTATGGAGGGCCACAGGGATGTTTAAATGTGAACTTGCCATAGGAAGCAAGACTGAAGGAACTGGCTGTGTTCAGCCTGGAGAAGAGAAGGCTCAGCTGGATCTGATCATGGTTTCCCAGCACTGAAATGGTGGTTATGGAGAAGGTGGAAGCATCTCCCCAGGGATGACCTGCGATAGGACAAGAAGAAACAGCCACCGTTTGCTTCAGGGGACGTGCACATGCTGCCTTCCCGTGCTCCTCAGCCTGCTGGGATGCGGATCTGCAACAGAACCTCAAGTGAAGGAAGCAAAACCAGTACGTGTGTGCAGGACATTCTTAATGCTGTGAGGTGCCTTCCTGGGAAGTAAATAACCACCACCAGCGCAGGTGGCGGGTTGTGTAGATCCTCACAAGTACGGATAACTGCGTGCGGCCACAGCAGAGGCGATATCGGCGGCCGGACAGCCGCGGTACTTACAGTCCGCTTCCATCAAGTTTCCCGGGAGCGCTCCGGCAATCTCGGACCCGGACTCGCCTCCGCGCTCCGCTCGGTGCTCGTCCCCACGGCCCGCGCTGCCCCGCAGGGGCGGAGGGGGGAGGGGACGCGGCGCGCCGCCCCTCGGCCGGCCCTCCCCTGCCCCGCCCGCCGCCGCCCCGCCAGCCGCCTCCCGGGGCCGGACACCGCCGCGGGGACGGGGGAGCTGCCGCCGCTGCGCTCCCCGGCCCGGCGCTGGGGAGCGGGCGGCGCCCGCGGAGCTGGGCCATGAGGTGAGCGGGGCCGGCGAGCGGGGCCGGGGCGCTCGGGAAGCGGGAGACGCGCTCCGGGCGGGGCGCCGGCGGACGGGCGCCGAGCACCGGGGGTGTCGGACCGGGCGGGCCGCCTGCCGCCGCAGGAAAGCGAACTGTGCCGCAGGTGTCCCTCTTCAGGAGGAGAGTTTCGTCTTTACTTACTTATTTTCCGCTTCTCCCCCTTCGACTTTCCCCACGCCCCGGCCGCCGCGCAGGCTTGTCCGCCGCAGCGCCGCGCACCGGAGCCCCGGGACGGGCGCCTGGCCCGCGCCCGCCCCGGCCCCTCTTGCGTCCGGGCTCCGAAAGGCCGCAGGACCGGGGACTGGGGCGGGGGGACGGCGGACATCTATCCATCTTTCTTTCGCGCCGCTCTCCAGCCCCTGACGGGGCTCTCAAGGCAGAGCGTGGGGCAGCGGGCAGTGCTGTGATCCGCGTCTGGCCGTGGCACCCCCGTGACGAGAGACTAGGGTCGTGGTCCAGGAGGTTTGTTGCCGCGTGGGAAAACATCTGCGGGCCCAAAGGTGCGCCCGCCGCTCGCACACGAGTGTCGACGCCTTCATCAAAGTCCCAGCCGACAGAAGCAGCAGCAGAACGGTTTGCATCAGGTTTTCATCTCTCTTCATCAGGCTGACAGCTTACTGAGGTCGAGCCTTGAGCTGTCATTGACTCCTACGGGACACACGACTTTTGTTTTGTTTTGCTTTCTGAGGAAGAGGGATTTACCACATTATATGATTTGTTTGGGGTTTTTTTCCCTTAAAGTACGTAACTTGGTTAAAATTTAACGTTCAGTTGTTTTTTATTTCCCTGTTAAGAGTCTGTGTCCCTTAGTCAAATGACAGTTCATTTAATAGAAAGGTGAATTTGGTACAACCAAACTCTTTTCTGAGGGCTGTTGCTTTCCCTGTGTGACTTGAGCATAACAAGTATATTTTTCCTTACAAAGGAAGGCCAGTAAGGCTAACTGTTTTTTTAGAATGTATTTGAAGTAGTTGATGAAGAAGAGCACGAAGTAGTAACTGTCTTTAAAATGTGAATTTAAACATCATCTTCCCACCTCAGCTCATATTTTTAATTTATAAAAGACTATGTAGGACAGAATCCAAGCTATGTTTTTGGGTACATCATATATCTACATATGTATTTGTTGCTACTTTGTTCAACATGTAGGATTATTCATATCACCTTGATGATGAGGATCTTCTTGAATAAATACAAATGATACAGATGTTCGCTTTCCAAGAAGCAGTAGGAGAGGATGTGCTTGGCATTATTACCGGAAGATCAGCAAATCTGGCTCTGACAGGATGAGGAAGAGGTTCCCAATCTGAGCACTCACATCTTGGTATTGCAGTTGTAAAATTAACATCAGCATGTGCACCTTATTATTGGTTGTCCCAGTGCTTAGCAGAAAATCTGTCTGTTTAAGTCTCAGATACTTAATCATGTACAGCAGCACAAAGTGTCAATCAGTCCCATCCTGACTTGGCAGCTTCTCCAGCAAGAGCATCTCTTTCTTTGTCGCACAATCTGCAGTACACCACTGAACCTGTAATGTGCAGCATTTCTGTTGTGCTCTGACCCTTCACTGAGGAGGAATAAAGATGGTGTCACTGGGAATTTCCCTTCACCAGTCCTTCCTGTCCCTGTTGTTGGTCTGAAGAAGCAGCTCACAGAGCACCACTCTGCTTCTGTGCATAGGGAGTGATCATACTGTGTGAGACAAAATGGGGCTGTGGGGGCCAGGTTGCTCTGGGTGGAACCTGTGCTAGACAGAGGTACAGGTACAGTGAGAGGATCAGTGACAAACTGTGTGACTATTACTCGATACTGTGCATGTTTGCTGCTGTGGTGCCATTGTGTGTGCAGTATATTTTCCACCATTAGTGTGCACTTACTTGCCCTGAATTGTAAGTCAAAGCAGTCAAAATCTCATTTGCAAACCTAATGGGAGTGGGTATAGATCCTGGAGTAGTAGAACTGCCTAACCTCATTTTGAATTGTTTAGTGCTCTGACATGGAAATAGCGCCTGATCGTTCTGATCATGCAGATGCTAAAAACTGATAATAGGATTATTTGTGTTAGAGTGGGAATAAAAGATAGAAATAACATTAGAAGGACTGTACCAGTTCCTCTGGACCTGTGCATCAGAGTGAGAACAGTAGTGGGAGGTTTGGAGAGTTGGATAGAAGAAGGTATGTAAACACAGGAAAATAAATAATTATTTCTTGAAAAGGGCCATTTAATCATCTAGTTTATTCTCTAAATGTAACCAGGTTGAAGTCTTAATTTGACATCTTCAAGTTTATTTAAAATTGCTCAGTTTTTCAAAGATAAAAATGAAGAGTTAAACCATTTTGACTGCATTACTTGTGAGTAGACTTTCTTTTAATCTGGACATTTACAGGTCACAGATTGATGCTCTCTAACTAAAGACAATAACTTTTATTTCCTTTCAATTCTGTAATTTTCTCTGCAGAGAGAATCTCCTTGTGAATATCTGTGAGCACCTGCATGTATTCCCTCTCTGTCTGCCCTTCTACCAGGGCTTGGTGGAAAGTAAACATCATAAGATAATTCCCCTCCCCCTGACTATTGAGATACCTTTAATCTGCAGTGTGTTGCATGCCTGGGACCTGAGCTGCTGTCCTTCTCCCTCAGACTTCTAATTTCTTGACTGATGATTAAAACCCAAAAAACATCAACCCCCACCCTGCCCATACGTGCACTGTACTTAAGACAGTCAGTGCTGGTGTTATAAATTTCACCTGACTTTACAAATCTAACTAGTCCTCTTCAGTAAGAGCAATCCAACACACAAGATGTTTTCAAAACTAGAGTATTGCCAACTAGTTCCCTACTGGCCCTGCTGCACTTTTATTTTAAGATGTTCCTGCTTTCAAAGATAAGCGGGAAGCAAACAAGACTGCTTCAAGCACCAAGGGAACAGCAGTCACACACTTCTACTTAAGCCCGTGCCACCATACAAGCGGTCACATCATTTAATTGTCACTAAACCCAGAAGAAACTGTTTGTTCTTCTCTTGGCGTGTGTGGAAAGAAGTAGGAAATCTCTTTAAATGATGCCAAGGATACTGCTATTTTGTGATAACTAGCAGGAAATAACAAGAGTTAGGACAGAAAGAAGGTCAGTTGACTTGAATTCTATATGGGAAAGTCTTGAAAGTTGATCATAAAATGTAATCCTGCACATATCCTGAGGATAATCAAATAAATATTTTGCTTCTAGCTTTACTTTTTTGCTGACTTATCTCTATCTTCCACTGCATTCTTCTGTATGTGGGCTATTTGCAGTTTGATGTGAAAGTGTGTTTTGGGTTTCAGATGTCTCCAACATGACAATATAGAAGTGACAGTTCTTTCCAGCGGACTTTACTGTCTGTATGCGTCTTATATTTCCTCTTTTTTCTTGCTTTTTCTGCTTGTCCTGATTGATCTTTTGTACAATGGTATGAGTTGCAGTGCTAAATCAGGATCAAGGATGCCTTTGTAAACTAGTTCTGTCTTAGAGGACAGAGTAGATCTGTTTTTATCTTTCTCCTTCCTACATCTAGAGCACTATTTTAGGAGAAGCAGTTTCACAAACAACTTGAGACAGCAAAATTTAAGCTTCCCAAATAGTATTAGCTACTCATCATTGCAAGCTGGAATCATGATACAATAGAGATTGTACCATAAGGCACTGATTTTTAGTTCTAATGAGTTGGAGAGATAACTTGATCACACTGATTACCTCACAGTGTTTTTTCAGATTTCGTGATTTTTCAGAGTGCATCCCTGAAAACTGACACTGTATATTCCCTTGCTTAAACCCCAAAAAACTGCAGTTGGAATAAAGCACAGAAAAGCATGCATTTCTAGTCCTTGTGGTGGGTCATTAAAGAGTTTAAATTAAGCTCAGTTGTGCTGGGTTGGTAACAAAACATTCTTGTTTGTTGTAATTTTTTCCTCTGGAGGGCCTCGGCTTTTAAGTATAGAAGGATTCATCTAGCAAATTCTTGAAGATAAACAAATATAAATGAAAACTGTAGTTCTTGTTAGTATCAGTGAAAAGCCTGAAAAAGTAGCTGTGTAGAAGAACTGTGTGCATTTCATCTTGTTATTCTTAACTTAGGAGTATAAAGGGAGATATAAGGAGTATCTCAGGAATACTACCACGGTCTGCTGAGTGGCACCTAGTCCTGCCTCTCCAATGATTAAGTAATGAGGAAAAAGACATTCCAGCTGTCTGACCCACAGGGATCAGAGAGTAAGTGCTGATGTTCATCCCAGTCCAACTGCTGGGAGACAGTCCTCTGTGTAATGTAGGATTCCCTGTCCCAGTTGTTGTCTCTTCTGTCTTCTCCTCCCCTGCTCTGAGGGAGATGGAAAAGAGTCTGTCCTAGGAGGATGCTTCTTCATTGCCTATTTTGTCTCTTTTGTATGTTTGGATATAATAGGGGAGCATTCATCTCTTGGGTCTCTTGAGTGGTACTGTTTCTTTTGCCTTACATGGGACAGTGGGGGTCCTGACGGGAAAGCTCCTGTGCTCATACTTAAGGTAGTTCAGTTGGTGGCTGCCCAGACCGGTGTGTTGCACTTAGAGGTGTCTCAGTGCTAAATGACAGTGTTGCATATGACCTACATGACCCAGACACACCTTGTGGAACTTCTCACCATGTTCATTGCACAGATGGCACCGTGCTTTGCCTTCACAGTGATGCTAACTGTGTTGGAGGGTCATGTGCTGCCACTTCAGGAGCTCTAGTCACTCAAGAATGGCAAGATTCATCCACAGATTTGTAAATTTGCTGGGTTTATCCTGTTCAGAGGCACTGTCCCTTGTCAAACTTAGATCATCAAATAAATGATCGTCTGAAGAACTGTAGCAGAAAACACATTGGCAGCAAATGCTGAATAGCAGCTGGTAGAGTGCACTTAGGAAAATACTAGTATAGCATATCTAACCTGTGCTAACA